GAAGAAAGTGGTTTTGGCCTTTTAGTTGGAGCTTTTGAAGTTAAAAGAACATGAGCCGAGACCAACAGGTATAGCGCGAAGGTTTAGAGGAGAGATAGGAGAAAGCCTGGACATATGAGATTTCCTTCACTTTCCCACTCACAGAAGCGGCAGAGGTCCTGATTAACGTCAGGGTCCAATGTGCCGTTAAGTGGCCATTTGCTCTGGTTCTCGAAATCATAGGTGGGCCACGCGTGACTACAACAAAAATGAGGTGATGGTGTTTGAGATATGGGGCCAATTTGAGAGGAACAAGATTATTTAGGAAATAACTGAGGGGAGAGTTGCATGGAACGTGGGATGAGGAAGCTCCCATAGTGAACTGAGGGGTCAGACTGGATGCCAGTAGTCATCCCTGGTATTGCCGCAGTCTGAAGAGGAGAGTATGGGGCAGAGCAGAGGGCAGGGTCCTCACCTGCACCCACTGTTCCCCGAGGTGTAAAGTCTGTGGAGAGGTGTAAAGCCCTTGGAGGTTGTGGTGCCTGGTACCAGGACTTGGAGATGAAAAGAACCACAATTGGAGGTAGAGTTCTCAGCGGCAAACTTCACAATTCCATGTGTAACCTCAGGGTTTGGAGAGCTGGTGTGTGGACAGGAATCACCGCGTGTTTGGTGGTGAAGACGGAGATCCGGGGTTGAGTTATGTGGTTGGTAGGAACCCAGGATTCCAAAACAGCTCAGATCCCTGAGGGGAGAGCATGGTCAATGGGAGAGCCTGGGTCTGAGCCATGGCACCAATGAAAAGCCACCACAAAATACCAAATGCTGGAGGTAAAGGAAAACTTAATTGCTGGGTGGGGTGGGGTCCAGACAGGCTGGATAGAGAGGAGGAGAGAGAAGGAGAGAGAGAGTGTGCTGGAAGGTAGGTCTTGTTATAGCCTCGTAGGGGTGGAGAAGTGGGAGCAGAAAATCTCATTAGTGTGGGGTGGAGTTGACACCTGTGGTTGGGCAGTTTGGTCACCTGACTTCTAGTAAGCCAGGCTGGATTTTGGATAGGTCAAAACTTATTGTACAAGATGGGGACTGGGTCAGGATCTAAGATGGTGCCTGGGGTTGAAGATGGCACCTCAGATAAGACAGCACATTTCACTAACAAAGATCATTGGTCACACACACACACACACACACACATTACTTGAAATTGCAATTAAAGCAAATTAAAATAAACTAGCAATTTCTATCCTCAACTATAATGCAAGTATTCTGAAGCCTTTCTTGGAAAATTAAAATAAGATCACATGAAACCCTTTGAATCACTCTCATTCATCTAGGAAAAGTCTGCCTCCTGTAAACTTATTCATTCCTTGATAAATGACTTTTCAGTTTGCCTTAGTATAGAATTTTAGTTATAAGGCATTTACTAATAAGCATGGAATATTGTTTTTCAGATCTTAAATTTCTAATTATATACATTTTTTATTATCAAGCTAGTTCTATTTCTTGCTTGAAAAATTTTTTGTAAATAACATGTTTTTTAAAATAATTTTGCTATTACCATATATCAGTAACTAAATATGTATTTCAGGACCAATTTTATCAGAATGAAATCTAATTCTGCTCTGCAAAAAAAAAAGGTGGTCCACTTTAAGGCATCAAGAGATTAGTGTGCCAATTTCATAATTCTCTAAGACCTTTTACTCCACAGAAAGGTTTATGTTGTTAACATTATTTTTAAAATTATTTTAACATTTACTTATGTAAGGAATCAGAATAAAACAGAAACTTTGAAATACAGAAAGCTTTTCTACAACAGATATTGAAATCTCGAATTTCTGGGGGTGATTGGGGCCAGTGTTATTGCGTAGTGGGTAAAGCCTCTGCCTGTAGTGCTAGCATCCCATATGGGCGCTGGTTTGACCTGGCTGCTCCACATATGATCCAGCTTTCTACTGTGGCCTGGGAAAGCAGCATTAGATGGCCCAAGTCCTTGGGCCCCTGCACCCATATGGGAGACCTGGTAGGTGCTCTTGGCTCCTGGCTTTGATTCAGCTCAGCTCCAGCTGTTGCAGCCAATTGGCGAGTGAACCAGCGGATGGAAGACCTTTCTTTCTCTCTCCCTGCCTCTCCTTCTCTCTCTGTGTAACTCTAACTTTCAAATAAATAAATAAATCTTTAAAATTTCTTGGGATGATAAAGATACATGTTTTGTTTTTGACATGAAAAGTTCTCTCTGATTTCTGACCTTATACTTCATTATTTGAAGATCTAACTAAACTAGAAATGCTTCTACTGTATTGGTCAAACTATACTTTGATTCATTGGGTTGTATTGACCTGTAACTGTTTGTACCTTGGATAAAAAAGAACAGTGATATCATCTTTAGCTTCTATATTCTCTAATAAGCATAGTGCTGAATATTGTCCAAGTATTTTTATTATATTTTCAATATTCAACTTAAATCACCAGTGTCATGACGTATCAATTTTGTGACGGTATTGTGATCCTGAGACCTGCCTATGGTTCCTAGTATATTGATGAATTAACTCATTAGAGCAGATTATCCCTGCATAAATACTACAAAGGTCCCTGGGTCTGGCCAGTACTTATATTTGTTTTTACTAATTATGTCGCTTGTGTGTCACTTCTGATCTCTACAGTCTATCAAGAAGTTTTCTCTCAAATTTCTCACCATACATTCCTATCACATACACTCATTAGGTGACCTATTTCAGTGTATAAGGAGACAAACTGAAGACTTCTAATGGGAAATGTTTTATCTTGGCTACATTAAAGGATACAATGCATCTACTCATATTTTCCTTATAATTGAAATTGTTAAGTTGTTTTTGTCTGAGCTAGAGATCTCTCATGTATACACATACTAAAGTACCTACACAAATGTTAGGTAAGGGTTTTGGCCTCAAAGGAGAATCTCGCCCATCAAAACACTAAATTAAGTTTGTTCCCTGGAGTAATACAAATATTTTAATGGGATCTTCAAAATTATTCCAAAAATACTTCAGGGACTTTTCCTACTAAATGCATTACAGAGCTCCTCATCTTGTTTTTTCAAAAGGCAGTGAGTCAGTATTCCCAGGTAGGTTATTATCTGAATTTCTTCACCAAACATACTTGTTGAGTTTTCATGTGGCAGGTTATAATGCCATCATTTTGGGATAAATATTCCCATCAACTGAACCTGAATTTACATTCATATATTAATATTTCACCGACTCTGTGAAGAGTCAATTTCTTTAAAAGATTTACTTATTTATTTGGGAGGATGTAGGACGCAGAGAGGGAGAGACAGAGAAAGGGAGAGGGAGCTCTTCCATCTACTGATTTACTCCCCAGATGTTTTCTAATGCCAGTTCTGGATGATGCCACAGGCGGGAGCCACTAGCTTCATTCTGGTCTCCACATGAGTGTTAGAGGCCCAAGGACTTGGACCATTATCCATTGCCTTCTCAGCCACATTAATTAGGAGCTGGGCAAGACAAGTAGTAGCTGGGACTGGAACCTGCACTCCGACGTGGTATGTCAGTGTGGCAAAGGGCCACTTAACCTCTGCACCATGGAGTCAGCACTGATTCTATTACCATGTGTGAGTTTTTCTGATTATAAATTATATGTATGAACTAAACAAATAATAACCTTAAGGTGCAATTCTTGAGTAATTGTCACAGTGATTATATTTACAGAAGGAAATGAGAGAGAGTGTGTGGACCTGGAAAATAGGATCACATTTAAACACTTGTGCTTCCTTATGCAGTTGCTTTCACGATGAGATTAATGGCACAAAAAACCCACGTTCTTCCTGAAATGCTTGTTGTATTTCCTCTTCAAATGTTGCCTGCTCATCAAGGTCTCCCCTGATCATCTATGGCACCCTAAGATCATTTACTTCATATTACATGCCTTTATGTGATAACATATATTTTTGTCTATAGGTTTATTATATGTTACCTCTTTTCAATAATTCATGATCTTTGAAAGTGGAAATCCATAATGTAGAATAGAAAAAATTAACTTTTGCAATATACACTATTAAATGGATGGATATATTTCTAAACTAATGAGGATAATTCTTGCTTCTGCATGTCTTTTGTCACAAACCAAGACACAGATTTCAGAAATTCATTATTATCTGAATGAAGTTAAGTCATACAAACCTGAATTTTAAGAGAAAATGCTGTGGCTGGTGCTGTGGCATAGCAGATAAAGCTGCCACCTACAAAGCTGGCATCCCATATGACTGCTGGTTCGAGTTCCATGTGTTCGGCTTCCTATTCAGTTCCTTTCTAATGTGTATGGGAAAGCAGTGGAAGATGACCCACATCCTTGGATCCCTGTACCTGCTTGTGAGACTTGGAGGAAACACCTTGCTCTGGCCTTTTAAGCCATTTTGGGAGTGACCCATTGATAGAAATTTCTCTCTCTACCTCTCTGCCTCTGCCTCTCTGTAACTCTGCCTTCCAAATAAATAAATAAACAAATCTTGAGAAAAAGAGAGAAAATGCTGAGCTGAAAGTTCAGCCTTAATTCAATATCTGATACAATGAATTTTATGGTTGGAGGTGTCCTGGAGGTACAGGTCATCCATTTTTATGCTTGAATGATGTAAATGACATGCTGATGTTCATTTCTTATTGTGTTGCTGACTATTATTCTAGAAATTTGGAAAGAAAATGGAAGTCCTAAAGGTAAAGATACATGCACAAATACACATAAAAGCTTAAGAAAATATTAGTATAAAAGTATATGTGCATGGATGAGAGAGAGAGAGAGAGAGAGAGAGAGAGAGAGAGAGAGAGAAAATGTATATACGTTTTTGAGGTACATAGAGAAAGAAATTCAGAGCCAAGTTAAAAATAATTAGGAATTCTGGTGACTATATTGCAGAGTCTTTGTACTTCAGATCAATAGGTAACTGAATAATAAAAGGAATGGATTGAATGCAGAATCTGAATGAGACAAAATTCTCTGTTCTTTGTCACTTTCAGTTTTCTAGGTGTAAGAAAATGTCATCCTGGAGCAACAACACCAAAGTGACAGAATTCATTCTCCTGGGACTCACAGATGACCCAATACTAGAGAAGATCCTGTTTGGGGTTTTTCTGGGCATCTATGTAATCACAATGGCAGGAAATCTGTGCATGATTCTGCTGATCAGGACCAATTCCCACCTCCAAACGCCCATGTATTTCTTTCTTGGCCACCTCTCCTTTGTAGACGTTTGCTACTCAACTAATATTACTCCAAAGATGTTGAACAATTTCCTCTCAGACCAGAAGACCATCTCCTATGCTGGATGCTTCACACAGTGTCTTCTCTTCATTGCCCTGGTGATTACAGAGTTCTATATCCTTGCTTCGATGGCCTTGGATCGTTATGTAGCCATTTGCAGCCCTTTACATTATAGCACCAGAATGTCCAAGAACACTTGCATCTCTCTGGTTGCCTTCCCTTACATTTACGGCTTTCTTAATGGACTCTCTCAGGCATTGCTGACTTTTCACTTATCCTTCTGTGGCTCCCTAGAAATCAATCACTTCTACTGTGCTGATCCTCCTCTCATAATGCTGGCCTGCTCCGACACTTATGTCAAAAAGATGGCAATGTTCATCGTTGCGGGCTTTACCCTCTCAAGTTCTCTCTTCATCATTCTTCTGTCTTACCTTTTCATTTTTGCAGCCATCTTGAGGATCCGTTCTGCTGAAGGCAGGCACAAAGCCTTTTCCACCTGTGGTTCCCACTTGACCACAGTCACCATATTTTATGGAACCCTCTTCTGCATGTACTTAAGGCCCCCATCAGAGAAGTCTATAGAGGAGTCCAAAGTTATTGCAGTTTTTTATACCTTTTTGAGTCCTATGCTGAACCCACTGATCTATAGCCTAAGGAATAAGGATGTGATTCATGCCCTGAAGCAAGTAATTAGAGGAAGCTTATGTTGCAAAGCTGTAGTTTAAGCTTCTTTTCATTGTAATCACTATGAGCTATAATGATACAGTGAATCTCTAAAATGAAGAAAATTATTACTCTGTACTTGTGACTTGCTTATTATCATCAACACCCAGTGACCATTTTAAAAATATTTTTTCAAAATTAATACTTCATTAAAATCCATCATACTGACAAAAAACTCTGAATATCAATTGGTGTAAGTCTGATAACATATTTCATTAATTTACCTCTATATTGCTATTATTGGAATACTGAAAAATCATCTTCTCTTTTTTTTCTTTTTTTTTATCTTTTATTTAATGAATATAAATTTCCAAAGTACGACTCATGGATTACAATGGCTCCCCCCCCCCATACCGTCCCTCCCACCCACAACCCTCCCCTTTCCCACTCCCTCTCCCCTTCCATTCACATCAAGATTCATTTTCGATTATCTTAATATACAGAAGATCAGCTTAGTATACCTTAAGTAAGGATTTCAACAGTTTGCTCCCACACATAAACAAAGTGAAAAATAATAGATGATTTTTTTTAAATGATGATGAAATTAGATCAGACCTATTGTCATGTTTAATCCCAGTGAGAGTCAAGTTGGGAATTGATAATTTCTTTTTTTTTTTTTTTTACAGAAGATCAGTTTAGTGTACATTAAGTAAAGATTTCAACCATTTGCACCCCCATAGAAACACAAAGTGAAATATACTGTTTGAGTACTCGTTATAGCATTAAGCCTCAGTGTACAGCACATTAAGGACAGAGATCCTACATGAGGAGTAATTGCACAGTGACTCCTGTTGTTGACTTTACAAATTGACACTCCTGTTTATGGCATCAGTAATCTCCCTATGCACCAGTCATGAGTTTCCAAGGCTATGGAAGCCCCTTGAGTTCTCCGACTCTTATCTTGTTTAGACACGGTCATAGTCAAAGTGGAGGTTCTCTCCTCCCGTCAGAGAAAGGCACCTCCCTCTTTGAAGACCTGTTCTTTCCACTGGGATCTCACTCACAGAGATCTTTTTGCCAGAGTGTCTTGGCTTTCCATGCCTGAAATACTCTCATGGGCTTTTCAGCCAGATCCGAGTGCCTTTAGGGCTGATTCTGAGGCCAGAGTGCTATTTAGGACATCCGCCATTCTATGAGTCTGCTGAGTATCTCACTTCCCATGTTGGATCACTCTCCCCTTTATTTATTCTATCGGTTAGTGTTAGCAGGTACTAGACTTGTTTATGTGCTCCCTTTGACTCTTAGTCCTTTCATTATGATCAATTGTGAACTGAAATTGATCACTAGGAATAGTGAGATGGCATTGGCACATGCCACCTAGATGGGATTGAATTGGAATCCCCTGGTATGTTTCCAACTCTACCAATTGGGGCAAGTCAGCCCGAGCATGCCCCAAATAATACATCTCTTCCCTCTCTTATTCCCACTCTTATGTTTAACAGGGATCACATTTCAGTTAATTTTCAACACTTAAGAATCACTGTGTGATAATTACAGAATTAAACCAGTCATATTAAGTAGAACAGACAAAAAAAAAATACTAAGAGGGATAATGTATTAAGTTGTCCATTAACAGTCAGGGCTATGCTGATCTAGTCACCATTTCTCATAGTGTCCATTTCACTTCAGGAGGTTTCCTTTTTGGTGTTCAGTCAGTTGTCACCAATCAGGGAGAACATATGGTATTTGTCCCTTTGGGACTGGCTTACTTCACTCAGCATGATGTGTTCCAGATTCCTCCATTTTGTTGCAAATGACTGGATTTCGTTGTTTCTTACTGCGGTATAGTATTCTAAAGAATACATATCCCATAATTTATTTATCCAGTCTACCGTTGATGGGCATTTAGGTTGGTTCCAGGTCTTGGCTATTGTGAATTGTGCTGTGATAAACATTAGGGTGCAGACTGCTTTTTTGTTTGCCAATTTTAACTCCTTTGGGTAAATTCCACGGAGTGGGATGGCTGGGTCGAACAGTAGGGTTATATTCAGGTTTCTGAGGAATCTCCAGACTGACTTCCATAGTGGCTTGACTAGTTTGCATTCCCACCAACAGTGGGTTAGTGTCCCTTTTTCCACACATCCTCACCAGCATCTGTTGTTGGTAGATTTCTGTATGTGAGTCATTCTAACCGGGGTGAGGTGAAACCTCATTGTGGTTTTGATTTGCATTTCCCTGATTGCTAGTGACCTTGAACATTTTTTCATGTGCCTGTTGGCCATTTGGATTTCCTCTTTTGAAAAATGTCTATTGAAGTCCTTGGCCCATCTCTTAAGTGGGTTGTTTGTTTTGTTTTTGTGGAGTTTCTTGATCTCTTTGTAGATTCTGGTTATTAACCCTTTATCTGTCGCATAGTTTGCAAATATTTTTTCCCATTCTGTCGGTTGTCTCTTCACTCTCCTGACTGTTTCTTTTGCAGTACAGAAACTTCTCAATTTGATGCAATCCCAATAGTTGATTTTGGCTTTGACTGTCTGTGCCTCCCGGGTCTTTTCCAGAAATTCTTTGCCTGTGCCAATATCTTGAAGGGTTTCTCCAATGTTCTCTAATAACTTAATGGTGTCAGGACGTAGATTTAGGTCTTTAATCCACGTTGAGTGGATTTTTGTGTAAGGTGTAAGGTAGGGGTCTTGCTTCATGCTTCTGCACGTGGAAATCCAGTTTTCCCAGCACCATTTATTGAATAGACTGTCCTTGCTCCAGGAATTAGTTTTAGATCCTTCATCAAATATAAGTTGGCTGTAGATGTTTGGATTGACTTCTGGTGTTTCAATTCTGTTCCATTGGTCTATCCATCTGTTTCTGTACCAGTACCATGCTGTTTTGATTACAACTGCCCTGTAGTATGTCCTGAAGTCTGGTATTGTGATGCCTCCGGCTTTGTTTTTGTTGTACAAGATTGCTTTAGCTATTCAAGGTCTCCTGTGTCTCCATATGAATTTCAGCATCATTTTTTCTAGTTCTGCGAAGAATGTCTTTGGTATCTTGATTGGTATTGCATTGAATCTATAAATTGCTTTTGGGAGAATGGACATTTTGATCATGTTGATTCTTCCAATCCACGAGCATGGAAGATTTTTCCATTTCTTGGTATCCTCTTCTATTTCTTTCTTTAAGGTTTTGTAATTCTCATCGTATAGATCTTTAACGTCCTTGGTTAAGTTTATTCCAAGGTATTTGATTGTTTTTGTAGCTATTGTGAATGGCATTGATCTTAGCAGCTCTTTCTCAGTCATGGCATTGCTTGTGTATACAAAGGCTGTTGATTTTTGTGCATTGATTTTATATCCTGCCACTTTGCCAAACTCCTCTATGAGTTCCAATAGTCTCTTAGTAGAGTTCTTTGGATCCTCTAAGTACAGAATCATATCGTCTGCAAAGAGGGATAATTTGACTTCTTCCTTCTTGATTTGTATTCCTTTGATTTCTTTTTCTTGTCTGATTGCTCTGGCTAAAACTTCCAGAACTATGTTAAATAGCAGTGGTGAGAGTGGGCATCCCTGCCTGGTGCCAGATTTCAGTGGAAATGCTTCCAACTTTTCCCCATTCAATAGGATGCTGGCTGTGGGTTTTTTATAAATTGCTTTGATTATATTGAGGAATGTTCCTTCTATACCCAATTTGCTTAGAGTTTTCATCATGAAAGGGTGTTGAATTTTATCAAATGCTTTCTCTGCATCAATTGAGATAACCATATGGTTTTTCTTTTGCAGTCTGTTAATGTGGTGAATCACATTGATTGATTTGCGAATGTTGAACCATCCCTGCATACCAGGGATGAATCCCACTTGGTCTGGGTGGATGATTTTCCTGATGTGTTGTTGTACTCTATTGGCCAGAATTTTATTGAGGATTTTTGCATCTATGTTCATCAGGGATATTGGTCTGTAATTTTCTTTCAGTGCTGCATCTTTCTCTGGCTTAGGGATTAAGGTGATGCTGGCTTCATAGAAAGACTTTGGGAGGAGTCCCTCTTTTTTGATTGTTCTGAATAGTTTGAGAAGAAATGGGATTAGTTCTTCTTTAAATGTCTGGTAGAATTCAGCAGTGAATCCATCTGGTCCTGGGCTTTTCTTTGTTGGGAGGGCCTTTATTACTGTTTCAATTTCTGTTTCAGTTATGGGTCTATTTAGGTTTTCGATGTCTTCATGGTTCAATTTTGGTAGATTGCATGTGTCCAGGAATCTATCCATTTCTGATAGGTTTTCCTGTTTGCTGGCATACAGGTCCTTGTAGTAATTTCTGATGATTCTTTTTATTTCTGTGGTGTCTGTTGTTACGTTTCCGTTTTCATCTCTGATTTTAATGATTTGGGTCTTTTCTCTTCTTTTTTTAGTTAGTTGGGCCAATGGGGTGTCAATTTTGTTTATTTTTTCAAAAAACCAGCTTCTCACTTGGCTGATTTTTTGTAGTGTTTTTTTGGATTCAATCCTGTTAATTTCTTCTCTGGTTTTAATTATTTCTCTTCTCCTACTAGATTTGGGTTTGGTTTGCTGCAGTTTTTCTAGGTCCTTGATGTGCGCTGAAAGCTCATTTATTTGGTACCTTTCTAATTTCTTGATATAGGCACCTATTGCTATAAATTTGCCTCTCAATACTGCTTTTGCTGTATCCCATAAGTTTTGATATGTTGTGTTGTTGTCTTCATTTACTTCCAGAAATTTTTTGATTTCTCTTTTGATTTCTTGAATGACCCAGTGTTCATTCAGGAGCATGTTGTTCAGTCTCCATGTGTTTGCATACTTTCTGGGGTTTCCTGAGTTGCTAATTTCCAGCTTCATTCCGCTGTGGTCTGAGAAGCTGCATGGTATGATTCTAATTCTTTTAAATTTGCTGAGACTTGCTTTATGGCCTAGTATGTGATCAATCCTCGAGAAGGTTCCATGCACTGCTGAGAAGAATGTGAAGTCTGTAGATGTAGGGTTGAAAGTTCTGTAGATATCTGTTAGATCCATTTGGGCAATACTGTCAATTAAATCTGCTGTTTCCTTGTTGATCTTCT